TTTTGCATTCCAGCCCCGTATAATGAAAAGGACATCTTTTTTGGGTGTTAGTTCTAGAAGATCTTATAGGCAGATAATCCACCTAGAGAATCCAGAGTAATCTGTCAATCTCAAGATCCTTAGCTTAATTACAAAATCGCTTTAACTTGTAAGGAAACATTCATAGGTTCTAGGAATTAGAGAAAGGATGTTCTGGTGGGGGTGCATTATTTAGCTTGCCACAAAGGGTATAAAGAAGGGTAAAATAGTTTCTATACTAGTGCAGTGTAAAGACTAGTAGGATATGCTGAGAGAAAAAATATTAAGTGACTTCTGGATTGCTGTGAAAAGACCCTTAGTTACCATAGGTTGGTGCTTCAGCTTTTCCACTGGGGAATAGAAGAGGTAAATGAGTATTCCTGTGATAATGTGGATACAAAGCCTGAATTAATCCCTTAGAAAAGTGAAATTTCTTGAATTCTAGTCTGTTATAAAAGTTCATGTGAGTGTTGCATTCAGTTTCATAATATTTGTGTTTGATACTGTTTTGAACTGTTACCATATCATAACGTTGCTGTTCTGGGGAGAAGAGAGTTTATTTTGCAGCTTTTTATAATAGCCAGTTTCCTGTAGTCATAGGTGTGTCCCCTGGTTTAAGAAGCGTGACCTCAGAAGATGGAGATGTATTATAAGGAGGTCGGCAAAGACTCAGTCTCATTCCTCCTAAGGCTAGAATATGCGTGAGTCGTCATGGAGAACTGGACTGATAGTCCCTCATCATTAACACCCTCCAGTTCCCCCAGCAAGGAGATAGTAGCTCTGATGACTTCAGTTTTTACTCAGAAGGTAACCATCCGTTGCTCTCCTGTCTGGTTGGAATTTAATAATTCTCAAGAGACAGAATCTGATGAGTGTGTTACCATCCAAGTATAGATATATTGGAATAAGATAATATATGAAAGAACTCAGCTCCAAGTAGTCATTTGGTATTCAAGAACTCAGTTCCGTTCAGTTTAGTTGCTCAGTCGCGGACCCCAGGGTCTGTAGCGCACCAGGCTTCCCTGTCCATCACCAACACCCATTCCCTTCTTCAAGGGATCTTCCTGACCCAGGAAGATCTTCGAAACTCAGTTTCCTGCCTTGCAGGCAGATTCGTTACCGTCTGAACCACCAGGGAAGCCCAAGTCCTTTTTAAGCTGGCTGCCTTCCTGTGCCATCGTTAGATCCATAGGAAAAATCTCACATCCTTTGCCCTGAAAATAACAATGCATTGCAGTACAGCCATTTATCCTTGTTCTGTTTGAGCAGGTATCCAGCCACAGTCTCTTGGATCTTTCCAGGCATGGCTCTTGTATCAGCAGTTAGCAGGGTACCAGATCAAGGTCTGAGCTACTCTCATAAAAGTGGGCATGAAGAAAAAATTCCACAGTATTTTTCCACAAATCACTTACTCCAAAAAATTATTTTTCAGCTTCTTCCGTGCTTTTATTACTTAAAATGCGTGTCATGCTACCGATTACAAAATTAGTTTTAGGCTACCGTCTTCACAAGTCCAGTGTGAGTGATCTGCTTCCTGACTTAGGACTGTGAGGGTATAGTACACAGTTTTAGACTCTAGTATATTTTTGTACACTTAAGGTACAGTTTGTTGGGTATTTTCTTGGTAATTCATTCTTAACTGATTATTTAAAAAAATCTCCCAGTAGTTTGAATACTCCCAAGGTATTTCACTTGGGAGAAGGAAATGGCAACCCACTCCAGTGTTCTTGCCTAGAGAATCCCGTGGACAGAGGAGCCTGGAGGGCTGCTGTCCATAGGGTCGCACAAAGTCGGACATGACTGATGCGACTTAGCATGCTTGCAAGGTATTTCACTTACTAAATGTTTCTCTTTGGTTCACTAGTCTTCTCTGTTTCTTTGCCCTGTAGTGATTCATATGAAATAAATATAGAGGAATGAATATTTTTGACACTGTCTTTGAAACTGATTATCTCTAGGAAGCTAACATTTAAGTGATTGAGATGAATGATAGAAGTGTTTTTTTTTTTTAATCCTAGAAAATAGTATTATTGTAGAGTTACATTATTTCACATTTATGCATTTTAAATTGGATTTGTTTATCTTTATTTTATTTATCATTTTGTGGCCATGCCACACAGCATATGAGATCTTAGTTCCCCTGCGATAGAAGCGTAGAGTCTTAACCACTAGGTCACCAGGGAAGTCCTCACTTAGCTTTAAATGCAGATTTTTCTTGGGTTCCAAGTTTATTTTAGCTGAATTAACTAGTTCATCATTTCAGTTAGATAACTTGTACATCATACAATAATGAGATTTTTAGCAAATAGACCATAAAACTTCATTATGTTTTCTGCTGTACATTTTCCAAATTTTCTTGGCTATAAAGCAACTTGAAAA